ACCCCTTGCTGACAAGCTTTACGTCTACAGAGGCATTACAGGTGCTTTTCCTGACATATTTGCAATCCACAGAGGGGCTCAACAGAAACGAAAAGAATGCGAAAAAATCAACATGCCCCCAGGTCAATTAAACGAAGTAAGAAAACGCACTGATACCGTTACCTACGCGATTTTTGCCGAACTAAATCATTTCAAATGTGAACGCGAAATTGATTTAAAAATTACAATGAGAAATTATTTAAAAGAACAAATTAATTTCTATAAAAAAATAGTAGAAAAATTGGAAGACACTCTTCAGTTCTTTGATTAATTGTTTATTTAACTTACCTCTTCCGCGCCTGTTGAACTTGATGTTGATATTATGGAATATCAACAGGAAGGTATATAAGATAATAACAATTAATATGTTTCCTAAACAACATAATTTTGCATTTATATACGCATAATATAGATATATGTATATACTATACATACAGGATGTTCCTTGCCTGCCTTAGAATGAAAATATGAAGATAACCAAGAAAATGAGAAACATTTATGCAGTAAAAATTGTATTTTTTGATTTCACTTGGTTCTCTACATGTTTTTACTCGCCTAAAGTTGTCGTGAGAGGTCCTGAATGTTCGCTTATCTAATTGTATATTATTAATCAATAGTAATTAATTTTTATGTATGTATTTTTTACACATCACTAATAGTAAAAATTTGTGTGTAGCCTCCGTTTATATTTTTTTATACTGTTACCATATTGTGATCTTCAATTTTTACAAACTTTATATAAGTATATAATTATGTAAAAGGTATTGTTGCATGCTGGAAGCAATGTAGTTTGTAAATGTTTACACTTAATTAAAGGTCATCAATATTAAGTAATAATTGCGGTATTACACAAGGCGACGACTGATTTTATAATATTGCCAAGGAAATTGTACAAAATTATTTTCTGTATTAATAAATATAATCTCAGCTACTGTATAGTCAATGAGTGCTGTACAAACTGGTGTTTGTGATAATTAATTAATTTTTTCCAAATAATTCTTTAGATAATTTTATGAAATTATAACGGCATTTAATTGTACACCATTATATATTGTATGCCTACTGTA